GTTGTAAGTATTTTGTATTTGTTCCCACATTTTTTATAATATTGTAGAAAGAGACTAATTTATTATTAACAGAAGCAGTAAAACCTAAAAAGTGTTTTGTGTAACCTATTTTGAAGTCAATGTTAATTTGAGACAATGTAATGACTTTAGAGTAGAAATGACACCATAGGGTAAAGAATCCCTACAATCTAAATCTTAATATGCCCATTCTGTCCGTCTCAGGGTACAATCTGCTTATGGCAACAAAAGTGATTTGTCATACCAATGCCTTGAACAAAGTGTATTTTGTATTCATCCTTTAACATTTCAAATAAGAATTCTACTATTTTTAGGAAAACTGCATGTTTCTGCTTTAGTCAGAAATAAGGGAACGCACACAATGATATGCATATGTCAGATCTCACTTTTCTTCCTCAAGTGTCTCATTAATCTGATCTGATTCGCAGGTGGAGAGACAAGAGACGAAAATGTCCCTGTGTGGACATCATGGAGAAACAGCGCTATGGGACTCAGAAATGGCTTTGGGTATGCTGTGCTATGCGACTTTGTGAGTCCTGCAATTAAACGTTAGTAAACACTGAATTTGCCACTTCCACCTGAAGTCTTCACTAGAATGCTAACATCACCCTCCTGACACGGCAGGACAATATAAAGCCAGGGATTTTAAGAGTGCCAGAAGCACTGAAGAGCGTTCAGGTTTCTTGGGAGAAGGGCACACCTTGATATGATCATTTATAGTTTAGTTAATGAGACATTAAGACTAAATTAAAAACAGGTAATAAAATACTATATGACAGTGACAAAGTGTTAACAATAACAAGAATAGAGTTAAAAGGGAGTGATTGTAAAATACCAAAAAGAAAAAAATCGCTTACAGTTTCCTGTTTCAAAATGGATGTTGAGAGAGAACCCATAGATCCTTTGGCAACAGGGCTTTCAGTGTCGCAGCTCCCACCCTCTGGAATGCTCTCCCCTCTGCTATCAGGAATGCCGACTCTCTGGACATTTTCAAAAAACAACTCAAACATCACCTGTTCACCCGGGCCTTTGGCCTCAGCTAAAATACAGTACCCAGCAACCGGTTATTTATTTTTTCTAACCTATGTATCCTTGTGACCAGGGCTCTCGACTAACTTTTTTCACCATCCTCCCGGAACCGTCCCGAAATACAATCTAAGCCGTCCCGAAATTAATGTGGACCGTCCCGAATTTAAAATATTAGTTTTTCTACTACTTATCATTAGTTAAAATCATTCAAAGTGACCTTTAACATAAATAAAAAATCATTAGAGATAAGTCATCAACCTTTTTATTTGAGTAAATCAGTCAATCACATGACAAAGGCCAAATATATTTAAACAAACACACAAACGAGAAAATTACTAATATTGAATCAAATCAAGTCCCATCAAATTAACAAAAAAATCCAACACTCTTTCCTGAAGACAGAACCCAGAGTAACCACTAACCAGGATGACAGTCTGTAACACAGTCAGGAGACCTTTACAAACTGCCCCGCCCCCTCGCACACAGACGGGAGACAGAGATCTCGTCTGGATTGGAAAGCTCGAAAATACATCATAGACGCATGTTGTAGTCTTATTGCATATTAGAAACGGAGTTGGATAAACTAAAACTGCGATATAATGTTTATGTAGCAATACTACATATGACATATATTTTTAAAATGTTTCCAGTACCGATAAAAAGTCAGATAACGTCGGAGCTTAACGTTACCACTGTCTTTAATAATTCCGGCCCGGGCGGAGCCCATTTAATACCGGGGCTCGGTACCCATCCATACATGGGGAGAGGCGCAGCATATTTCTAAGGACTAAATACGATGGAGGGTTCTCATCTCAGCCTTATACCCATAGGGGATGAAGAGGAGTAAGTAAATAAAGAGGCCGGCGCTCCAGGGTCTGGTTCTGCTGTGCGTTTTTGTGATGTAACGGTAAAAAATTTCAGAATTCCTCCACGGGATACCATTGTCATTTTACATCACTCAACCCGCGAAATACACACACTCAGTACATAGCCTACTGTAGATAGACCCGCGAATTTGCGGGCCAGGAATTCGCGGGCACAGCCAGCTGTGCGGCTGGCTGACAGCCATGGGCACAGCTTACGTACTGTGTGTGTGTGTGTGTCTGTGTGTGTGTGTGTGTGTGTGTGTGTGTGTGTGTGTGTTTCGCGGGTTGCTAAATGTTTTGTGTGTTTATGTTGACAAGGAGGTTTAATAACTGTGTGCTGTGCTACACACAACGTGCAGTCGATTTCATTTTCATCTGCGTTTGTAGTAGAGTTAGCAGGGTATTTTTATTTTAACTCTCGTCCCAAATTCGTCCCAAAATTATTTTTTATCCTCCCTGACACTATTTTTTTCAGCCCCGGGACGACGGGACGTCCTTAAGCTCGAGCCCTGGTTGTCTGTCTGTTGGTGTCCGGACACTAATCACCTCAGGCTGCTTTATCCACCAAAATAGCCTTTGTAAGACCCTGAAAACATGTTGGGGAATCAAAGGGAATATTCAGCTTTCGTTCCGCATGAATGTGGATGAGATCCTAGAGATAGTATAAATAACCTGAAGCTGCATGTCAACTCTAATAGGCATGTTTTTCAATTTGCAAGATTTCTAACTAGAGAGATACAAGGAAGTGTGATGTGGAAAGTATGCAGATAAATGTTGATAAATCGTCGTATGCATATTATTTTAATATGTAAATCCATAATTTTTCCATTTAAAAATAATCTCTGTTGTAATAAAAATAACATTGTAGTGAGGAATTTCTTAAAACACAAAAAATATTGGTATTGGGTTATTTCACGTAATTACATATAAGGTTATTTCAAGATTTTCTTTTTGTGTATTACTGGAAAATTCAACAGTTTGTCCTGTATTCAAAATGTCGTATATGCTTTCAGAAAGAAGTAAGTCATATTACATAGTAGTGTGATTTACGAGAAAATATGGAAAATGTCAAAGGGAAAAAGGGAAGGACTTCACTGGAAAGGCCAAGTAGTTAATAACTGACTCAAAACAGATTTTATTTCTTCTCATGCAGCTATCTCCCTTACTGACATTTCCTCTAATAGAAAAAGCTCTTCTATGAAACGAAGAAATGTATAAAGGAAAACGCAGCAGGATTTATTAATATTACAATGTGAAAAACACTTTGGTCAAATGGGTGAGATTATTTCACCTATTTACATATGAGCTTGTTTCAATATTATTTATATATTGGGTACCATTTTCTTATTTAGTGCAAATATCTGCATTGTTGGACTTCCATATTTGCATCCCTTTTTAAAAATGTATTCTTGCTTTATATAAAGACCAATGTATGTTTTCCTTTTCTTCGTATAGCCTACAGCAGGGGTGGCCAACCAGTCAGAGGTTAAGAGCCACATGTTGTCTATGTTACTGCAAAGAGCCACATCAAACACACAGTCACTGATACCGGAGGAGGAGTAGTGTTGTCACGATACCAACATTTTGGTTTCGATACCAAGACAAGAATTCCGATTCTTTTTCGAAACAGTCTTAAATGTAATTATTGTGCTTTATTTCACACCAGAACCATAACTATAACACAAACTTTTAAACAATGAGAACAATAAATAAAATAAATGACAAGAATTCGTATTAAATACAATTAAAACATTTCTTACAGACAGGCCTCGTGGTGTCCGTAGGCTTGCCCTCACTGTCAGAGGTATAGCTAAAATACATCAAAATTTCGCTTCTGGCGTCTTTTTTGTCAACAAGCCGAGGCGCAGCAGCAGTTGCACTCCCACTTGCAGCCATGCTTCTCGTTTTATCACATTCTCTGGCAGCTAGCGCGTGCACGAGAGAGGGGAGGGACTTAGAGCGTGCTTGAAAGGGGCGGGACTGTAGGCACGGCTGCAGTGCAGGGAGTGGAAGCAGAGCACTGAACACACACGGCTCTTATTAAAACAGCGTTTTCTCACCGGAGTACTTTCCCCCGTCATTCTTAAAGTACCATACTAATGAAACGGAGGAATAGTAATGTTTTTAACGGCAGGGTATCGCGGTATACCTTTCAAGTATCGGTACACCGTGCAACACTAGTCAGGAGTCAGTGTCTCTCCCCCAAACTCACACATATAAAATTCGATATGAACTGAAGAGCCGCATGAAACTAGGCAAAGAGCCGCATGCGGCTCGAGAGCCGCGGGTTGGCCACCCCTGGCCTACAGTATACTATTCTGTTTTCTCTTTTAAGATAAGATAAGATTCCGGTAGGGAAATGTGGGTGTTTAAGCAGCAACACGAATAAAAGGATGAAACACATGATAGCACTGGTAAGAGTTCACACAAGGATGAGTAAATAATACGAAATAAAGAGTGTACATAAACAGTATGGTATAATAAAAATATCAATTATCTAAAGCTGTTTACATGTATATAAATCTGAATTCCAAAGTAGGCACATAGGGTGTTATTTTGTTCTTAATTGAACTCTTTCTAATCTCAGGTTTTGATAATATTGGTTGTTGTTTGACATGTTCACTCAAACTTTTACAAAGCAATCTAAAAATTGTGTTGGCATGCATTTAGTGTTCCTCAAATGTGACATTCTGTTGTTACTGTATCTATATATAACCTCCCTGCATCTTGTTAGTATCTATGACCCATCTTCATCTATGAAGAGCAACAGGTTCATGTACCGCTGCATGCCCATGTAAAGCAAGGAGGCTTCACACCAAGGACAATAGGGAGATATAAAAAGAGACCGTGCAAAGGCTTGTGTTTGTTCTTTCACATAGCAAGGTGAGTCCACAATCCTTTGTGCAGGTTTATCGTACTTTATGAAATTCTGACACTATGTGTTTATTTTGTGTGCAGTTCAATCTTCATTCTTCCTAATTCTGTATAAGTGGGTGAGTACATTTCAAGCATTATCCAGAGCATGAAAGAATTTAAAAGATGCTTCATGGTGCCTTTTTGGTCTTGGATTCAGGAGGATTTTCAAACATGAGTACAGATGGGGAAATGTCAATCTTTGGGCCTGCTGCCCAGTTCCTCCGCAAGTCTGAGAGGGAAAGGACGGAGGCCCAGGCTCGGCCGTTTGACAGCAAGGCGTCGTGCTTTGTCAGCGATGAGAAAGAGCTGTATGTGAAGGCTGAGATCCAGGACAAGGAAGACGGCAAAGTCACTGTCAAGACTGTGGATGACAGAGTGGGTGGACTGACAGATTTAACCTTTTATTAGATACTGAAAACAGACCGTGAAGACGATTTTTCCTGTTATATGGGATGTGCTTCAGGACTTTATGCATTGTTATGTGAAAGGATTTTATGCAGCTGCAGCGTGTCTGTAAAATCTGCAGTAAAAACGAGCAGAATTGTATTAGTGTGGCTTTCGACTGCCCTGGAGCTCTTTGCATGTACTATTTGTATAAGAGAATAAAAGTTAATATTATGTTTTTATAGCTCCTGAAAAATGTGAAAATCAATTTTATGGTGTCCACATTTTTCAGCTTTAAAATGTGAAGCATTATACTCTGTTTTGCTTTCCAGACTTTAACTGTCAGGGAAGACCAGGTGTTTCCCATGAACCCGCCCAAGTTCGATAAGATTGAGGACATGGTGATGATGACGCACCTCCACGAGCCGGCGGTGCTGTTCAACCTGAAGGAGTGCTACGCAGCCTGGATGATCTACGTGAGTCTCTCAGCAAATATGATGCCAATGAATGAAACAGTCTGGATACAAAAACTTAACCTAGAAATTACAGTGCGGTTAGACATTTTTTTTACGTGAGATTGTGAAATCCACTTGCAATGCAATTCAACAAGGAAATCAGTTCTGAAGTTTGTGCTTTATTTTTGACTTATTTAAGAAGTATACTATAGATTATTTTAAAAGAAGTTTATTATTATTTTAAAACCTTTTCATGTTTTTTTGTTTTAATTCAGTTAAGTCAAAATTGTTATTGCAAAATTCCATTTTTGGTGTCTTTTCTATGTGCTGTTTATTTCTGCTCTGTGACACGCTTTGGGTTGCACAATTGAAAGGTTGAACTTATATTAAGTACATTTGTGTATGTTTTATTTGCACTTAAAAAAATCCAACAGAGGAAAAGTAAAAATAAATAAAATACATGTGCAGGAATGGCAGAAATGCAGAATACACGACAGTAATGAGACATTAATGCTTTTACTGTCTCACCAAGGTTAAAATGACACTGAGTAACCATTCAACTGCAGACCAGATCAGCAACAGAAACAAGTCAAAATTAAATTAAATTCATATTTGACTTTTTGATACAAAAATATACAGTAGATTTAAAAAAGATATCAATCTTTGAAAACTGAATATTTTCCCATGTTAGATTTTTATCTTTTTAACATGCATGAATATATTCTGTTCATGCTGGATATTCATATTAACTGCCATCTGTCACTGTCATCACAGCTGAGTGCTCATGTTTTGATTTAATGGATTGAGAACTGAAGGACAGGCCATTTATAAAAGTAATGTGAATCTAGTTTATGGAACATGGTACATATCAGAGGATGCAAACTATCAGTAGGTTTTATCATCTGGAGAACATGAATGTTGGTGCAAAATGTTATAGCAATCCACTCCAAGTTCAGATATTATTATTTCAAGATCTTTTCTTTTCCGTGTAGACCTACTCCGGGCTGTTCTGTGTGACTGTGAATCCCTACAAATGGCTGCCGGTCTACAACCCGGAGGTGGTGCGGGTCTACAGAGGGAAGAAAAGGATGGAGGTCCCCCCTCACATCTTCGCTCTGTCCGATAACGCCTACCAGTTCATGCTCATCGGTATGTTCGCAGCCAGAACAACAATTCAGCTAAATTATTTGATTCATTTCTTTCATCATGTGTCACTTTTGTGTCCTCAGATCGTGAAAATCAGTCAATTCTCATCACGTAAGTGTAGCAGAGATTTTGCTTATCTATTTGCACACTTTTGTACGTTAAGCTGTGAGAGGCTAGTAATTAAAATAAGTGATCAAAGTGATTTTAGTAATCAAAATAAAAGACTAATCAAAAATGTTTTTGTCTCCAGGATACTCCTTGTTAGTTCCTAAAGAGAGATAGAGAAAATAAAAACTGTTTGTTGTTGCAATATTAATTTTGGCCACAAGAGGCTGTAGTGCACCAGTAATATTTTAAATTGAATAAAAACACAATTTATTTTTTGTAATTTGCCTCTTGGGCATTCCGTACAATTCACACAAAAAACAGTTAAAAGGTATGTTTTTGGTGTCTTAGTGGAGAATCTGGTGCAGGCAAGACTGTCAACACCAAACGCGTCATTCAGTATTTTGCGACGATCGCGGTGTCTGCAGACAAGAAAACGGAGGCAGCCGGTAAAATGACGGTAAGTTCAGGACAACATTTGACAAGCTGTGCAGGAAGTAGAGTCGGTTTGTGTTTCTCGGAGGCAAGTGGGTGTGAGAATTACATGTTTGCTTTCTGACAGGGGACCCTGGAGGATCAGATCATTCAGGCCAACCATCTGCTGGAAGCTTTTGGGAACGCCAAGACCATGAGGAACGACAACTCCTCTCGCTTTGTGAGTCAGAGTCTGAGTTATATTTTCTCCTGAATTTACATTACATATTGTTGTTATTTTATGTTTTACTGTTGTACTACCTTGTATAATGTACTTTGGTAATTGTTGATATGGTCATGCAAATAAAGTTTTTAATTTGAGTGAGATGCTAATGTTTTTGAAAAGGGTAAAATCATCCGGATTCACTTTGGCACAAGCGGTAAACTGGCATCTGCAGATATTGAAACATATAAGTGTGTGTAAATGTTGTGCAGAACAGTCACATAGATGTTCCTGCAATATACAATTCATTTAGTTTTCTGTCCTTAAGATTTGCTGGAGGAGTCAAGAGTGACATTTCAGCTGTCGGCTGAGAGGAGTTATCATATTTTTGACCAGCTGACCTGCAACAAGAAGCCTGAACTGATTGGTAATCTGACTGTTTTACTTCTTGTTCTTACTCAGACTTTCAAATGTAAGATATTTAAGCTTTATATTTCTTCCTTAAGATCTGCTTCTCATCACCACCAACCCCTACGACTTTGCCTTCACCAGTCAGGGTGAAATCAGTGTTAAAAGCATAAATGATGCAGATGAGTTAATGGCGACAGATGTGAGTCGACTCCATTAAAACTTAAGAAGCTCATCCCGTCTTTTCAGATACTTTACAATCTGTTTTTACTATTCTTACGATGCAGGAAGCCATTGATATTCTAGGTTTCGCGGGTGAAGACAAAATGTCCATCTACAAGCTGACTGGCGCTGTGATGCATTATGGGAACATGAAGTTCAAGCAGAAGCAGCGTGAAGAGCAGGCGGAGCCAGATGGCACCGAGGGTGAGGCTCATCCATCCAAATTAACACTGACATGCCCATTAAGGAATCAGAAAATACAAAATATATATATTTTTTGAAATGTTATTTTGCAGAAGCTGATAAAGCAGCGTATCTTATGGAGCTGAACTCTGCAGACCTGCTGAAGGCACTCTGTTATCCCAGAGTGAAGGTTGGAAACGAGTATGTCACCAAAGGACAAAATGTGCAGCAGGTACGATTTCTAATAAAAATGACTTCCTCTCTTTACATGTAATACTCCACTGCAAAATAACATCCAAAGCCATCTGTTTGGCTGTATGCTAATTACCATATTTTATCAAACTTAAGGTATAATAAACGATAAAGAGGAAATATGTGGAAGAACCCTGATCTTTTACATAAAGAGGAGTTCTAAATAGCAACATTTCAGAGAACATTCATGTGCAAGTGACATAGTGAGAATTCAACTGGATAAATGGTAATTGAATTGTCAGAAATATATACAATTTCAAACCCCTATTCACTCTATTTGTATTACAAAATAAGGGAAAGTAGGAAATATACATATTTCAGACGCTTAAAACTGCATTTTCTGAAAAGAATCACAGTTGTTTCTGTTGATCTACTTAACGATTGGTTTAGTTCTGTTGAAGCCCATATCTCTAGTAGATAGAGGTTAAGCCACTGCAAACCATTTGACACTGTAGTGGCAATTTCTTATGTTACTTTATATGGTAAAACCAAATGATTATATTATGTTTAGAAATTGTATTGGAGCAACTCGACCTGTTGTACCACAAGGTAGCATCCCGCCAAGGTCGTACCTATGAGAGCATTGTAAGATAACAGTTTTCTAAAGAAAGTCTTATCTTTATTACTTCCTGCACAGCAACAGTCCTCTATAAAACACACACACACATTATACCCTGTGTGCACTCCTGCAGACTACTCTGTACTCTGTGAGACATGTACCTTTGAAGCGCTTCAAATAAAGAACCAACAAAAGACAACGCTGCCTGCTTTCACCAGTTTATTATTGATTACTCTCATTGTACATCTTTACAGTATTGACGAGTTTAAAATATCCACAACAACTGCAAACCATTTGACACCAAAATAAATATGAGAATAATATTACCTTCTGTCCCCTCAAATGTGGTTATTATCTTTTGAAAGTGCTGTAAACACCCTCAAATCTGAGCATGGCCTCAGCATTCAAACCACATTCAAATCTTTTACTTTACACAACGTTTCTTACCTTTGAAGAATGAAGACAAAGCAACAGCTCCTTCTTTAACTTCCTCTTTTTCCAGGTGTACAACTCTATCGGTGCCTTGGCCAAGTCTGTCTATGAGAAGATGTTTTTTTGGATGGTGATACAAATCAACAAGCAGCTGGACACAAAACAACCCAGACAACATTTCATTGGTGTTCTCGACATAGCAGGATTCAAGATCTTTGATGTTGGTGTTCAAAGTCTTCTGTATATATTTCCATTTTCCTCCGCACTGAATGATCGTTTTGAACCTGATCTTTTCACGGTTTCTCTTTAGTACAACAGCATGGAGCAACTCTGCATCAACTTCACCAACGAGAAGCTGCAACAGTTTTTCAACCACCACATGTTTGTGTTGGAGCAAGAGGAGTACAAGAAAGAAGGGATTGACTGGGAGTTCATTG